GTTAAGACGAGATAAGTTAAAATTAAGATATAAGTTAAATAATATTAAAGACTTTATGTTACGGGCTATAGTAATCATTATTAAAATTTCCTATAAAAACAATGTAGGTGCAGCCAATATTATTTTTATTTAACTATTTTTCGAAGAAAAATGTCCGATATTAATATATATTTTTTCTATTTGTTATATTTATGTAAATTTTTTATTATAATTTTGTAGTGTTCGGGCGAAAAGAAATAAGTGTAAAATTGAAATTTTTAGAAAAATGAAGTTGAAAATAAACATAATTTACATAACACGTATATGAAACCATAATAACATTATTTTTTAAATGTTTTTATATGTACAGTTTTATAAAATTGGTGTTAAATGTAAATTATAAGTTTCAATTTCATTATTTAAAATTGCAATCTTACCTTTTTTGCCCAAATACCATAGAATTAAATAACTATTATTTTATTTGTAGTATGGTTATTGATTTCCAATAGTGATGATTCTTAAACAATTTTCATAATTGTATAATTTTACAGTTATTGTTTTTAAATTTTATGTATAATTTTTCAAAAACTATTAATGTGTGTATTAATGAAATTGTAGACCGCGATATTCTATAAAATTTTCTAGTAAAATTTTCATGTTACTCTTCGTTGAAGTATCCATATTTTATTCATAGTTACAATGATATTTGTTCAGAAGATTTCAGTTATATTGGTTGGTTTTTATATTTTTTGTATTCTTGTGCATATGTAAAATAACTACTTTGAAATTTAAATAAAAAAAAATCCAACGAGGTCTTTTTGTTTTCCTTAATGTAATTCTATCTTTTTACATTACATAATATGGTATGAAAGATATACTCTAATGGCACTATTGAAATTCTATTCAATTTTGTAGGTTGTACGAACTTTAGATCTTCTCATTAGATAATTTTTATATATTTAATCAAGAAGTTGCTGTTTGGTAAAGAATCCTTTTATTATCAGAGAGATTACATAAAAATTGAATTTTTTTGCTATTGATACGTAATTTATGATTGTGATACATTTTAGAAATGTTTTTAAAGTTGTGAACATTATGTTCGGATACAATAAAAGGCGTTATTGAACATGACATTAAGACAATAAGTATAAAGAAGTAGAGAATTATCAAAATTTGTAAAATTATGTTATCAAAAACTTTTTTGTTTATAATAAAAATTTCTTCGTAGAGTATAAGGCCGCAAATAATTTGGGTGATTGAATTCTCCTATAGTGCTGTTATATTTTTAATTTATAATTTAAAAAAATTCGTTTGTGTCACTGGTTACTTTATTTAAATGTGTGTTGATTTAAACCATAGTTTATATCAAGAAAAAAGTATAATGTGTTTAAAAAGATTATTATTTGTTATGAACTACTATTGCAAAATCATAATATAGATAACAATGCATTAAGATTTGAAAATTTTATTTAACGTCGTCATTTAATGTTTTTTAAAGTTTCATTTTTTATAAAATTTAATTTATTTACGTACAGTAGTTTCTATAAATTGTTATTTGCATGTATAATCTTGCTCTTATTTATTAACCCTTTGACTGCAACAGCAGATAACATGCCCATTTTAATTGAAACCATACGGAAACTTGAAAGGTGGTTATTGATAATATATTTAATTATTTTATTAATAATGTAGCAATCGCAATTTAATTATTTATGAAATATAATATTATATATTATATTATTTTAGGCGAATAATAATATTATTATTACTATTTTGAACAATTTTATGTAAAACCAACGGTTATATCTTATTTCTCATAATACTTGTATATTGTTTTTACTTGCATCTTGAGAAATCTTAGCAGATGTATTAAACTGCTTATAGCTCAGTTAAGAAAAATTAGGTAAATATTTAATGTACACATATTTAATTCATTTTATTGTGATTTATGTTTAATTTCAAATTATAATCGTTTTGATTACTATATGAATAATTTAACGATGTAAAATCTCTGTGGGTTTCATAAAGCAGTTTCCGTCCCTCTTTTTAAAAATATGTGCTATGACTCATTTCACCCTCGGATCTATTGTTCAAAGATCGTATTTATATGTTTTGTTAATAAACATACTTATACCATTAGTGAGGGTCTGATAAAATATTTTTGTAACAGCATTCTAAAAATTCTATTCGTACATGAATGTTAATAATTTTGGTCTCACTAAAACATTAGTATAAAATGTCAAGTGTAATATGAGTATAAAGATTGTTTATTTTTTGATATTTTGTTGAAAATTTACTTCTATTAAATTTTAGTATGGATGTGTTAAATAATATAAATTTAATTAAAACTTGGATTTCTTTATATAATATTTAAAAAAATTGTACGTAAACGTAATATGTTTGTATGTACTTTTATTAACATTTGTAAAATAGTAAATATTTTTTCCCTTTACTTAAATAGTTACTATTATCATAGTTCTATTGTTCATCTTATATAATCCGATGCATTATTTTCTTGCATAGATATTATTTAATGTTAAAGTTTGCTCATATGGTTGTTAATTAAATATTGCTATTTTGGATTTTGCAAATGTAATGAAAACAAAATATTATTCGAAATCAATTTAAGTATTTTTGCTATAAATTTATGATAGTTTCGGTGATAGGGATATAGTTTGTCTGAATTCGTTTTTTTCAGTGGTAACCTGAATTAAAGATTGAAATTTTATTATAAAAAAAAATATCAAACAAAATACTCAATACATTTTTCTCTTAAAATTGCATATATTCAATTGAGAAAAGAGGTTACAAAGAAAATTATTCTTTTTGTGACTAGTGAAAAAAAAAGTAGTTGAAGGCAGTAGCACTAAGAAAGGCTTACAATCAGGAAATGGGTAATGTGGTAGTACGAAGGGATTGAGTTATAATTTTGTGTCGTACGATGTGTTTCTGACATTAAATTATGCGCATGATGATGCAGAATACGCTTCAGCCAAAGATTGTATTTAAATCTTGTGATTTCCCTTCTTGTGCGCCAGTTGGTTAAAATTATGGGATACTAGAAGGGTAATTTATTTGCATTCAGAAACGAGCCAACAGTACGTATATTTTTTTCTACTATTGTTGTGAAAGTTTGACAAAAAATAATTAATCAGTATTTAATATAGAAATTGTAATGTTATTAAACACATTGTTTTGTAGTGTAAAGTGTAATTTGCTAAGTAAAAATAAATAAATGTGTGTTGTCGTATTTGAAAGTAATATGGAGTACAGAACTATTCTTAATAATTTAGTAGTATAAAATGTAGTACTAATCATAACGACTTTTTATTGGTTTATTATTTTTATATTTTATGGTTCAACATACGTCTCAGATGCGTATCAGCAAATTAATAAAACCATTTGTACCCTTTCTTCGAGAATTTTCCAAATTGCAATTATATTTATGAAGTGAAATTTGATAGTATTGGATGAATTTTTTTTTTTTAGATTCTAACAAAAATCTTAGTTACATACATGTCTGATTTGTTTGAAGTCAACTTAGTATTGTCATTTATACGTATTAAATTTTAATTATTTTTATTATTTTACAGTACTATAATATAAATTAGTATTTATTATATAGTTTTAAGTATTATTTTTATTTATGGATATTTTATTAATGTAAATCAGTTATATCCAATAAAATAACATGTGAAGTAATATAATAACATAAGGCGCGTGATGCAAAGAATAATTAATATTTATTTATTATGAAAATTAATTAAGGTAATAAAAATATTACCCTAAAGGTTGATTGTAATTGCTCTGATAAGTTATCACATTCATCTGATTAGTAAATTAATTTCATTTTTTCGAAATAAGTACACTTGTAAAAATATTGTATATTCCAACAGACCTTTATTGTTATTCTGAACAAGCTAAACAATAGTTACTTACTGTTTTGTCTGTAATTTATTAATTAATCAAGATGAGAGTAATTCATATGATAATTACGTACAAAAATATCTTTGGGTTTGATAAATATTAAACGTATTAATTTGTTCCTAACTAATTCAACTGTATTCACAAGAGTTCTTATTAATCAGAGTTATCAAAGTACTTTTGTTTAAGAAACCTAAAAGTTTTTTAAATAATTAGCATAGCTTTATGATTCAAAATCAAATAATTTTTGTGACTTATATTTTAATGTAAATATAATAAAAAGAAAAAATATTAAATTCAACCCAACTAGCAGTGCTTAAGATAAAGCTGAAATTTGTTTATATATGATTAGGGTTATTTTAAATATTTGGGTCATTTTTACGACATTCAAGAAATTTAGATAATACAGTTTTTTTTGAAAAGGTCTATTTTTTATATAATTAGTTAAATTACCAACTATAAATTAAAAATATTATAAATAAATATATTTATATATATATGTACCTATTAAATATGTATAGGAAAAAATGATTTTTGAAAACTTTATTATCGGTTAAAATTTTATTCATTTTGTTAGTCCGGGATATTATTAATAATTGTTTCATTGTTATTCTATTTAATAAAAATATACTTTCCTATTCAATTTCTCTTAAATTTGAAAAACTTTCTTATACTCTTAGTTTTTATTACCCATAACCCTGATTTTGTTGATATGTGGTATGTGTACCAACACGAAAAAGCAATTACTGTTGTAATCTGTTTGCAAGAGTCTTGTGTCACCAAAATGGAAACGAGCTTTTGTTTAATATGTTTAAATCTTTTAGCCGTAAGTAATTTTACTTCTTAAACATTTCATTTACATTCTGATTTTATTATTGTTTTTTTGATAAATTAGTTTTGACCATATAAGTATATATAGTATCAATTGATATAGTATCAAACTATTAAATTTAGTTTAATATTTGACTAAACATGAATAATTAAAAAAAATAAGATATAAGATATTTTTGATTATTTAGAAAAGAATACATATATATTTTTCAGAATATTCTATATTATTAAACGTATATGTATATTAATCTATATTTTTTTTTCAGGTAAGTTGAAACAAAAAGAAATTGATTTATCAAATTATTATAAGTATTTACGTAAAGGTAAGCGATGAATTTGAGTTTAAATATAAGAATATATTCTTTAAAATATAATTAAAAATATATAGATAAATATTATAGGTCTTATAAACTAATTTTTAAGGATATCTTAAATTTAGTGATAAAAAAATACTTAATACTGCAACGAAATTATTCCGATTATCTGAAGTTGACAATCATATCTTTGGTTTTATAAATTATTTATCATTTTGGTTGCACTGGGTCTTTAAGTGATGGCGTAACGTACATTACTATAAATCATTTTAAAATGTCGTTATGATGCCAAAACGGAAAACCGTTATCAAATATTTGTAAAGGATGGAGTTCGGCGTAGCACGTACTAGAGCTACGTCGCTGTCGGTTTTGATATCGCTCTTCGGGTGTGGTCGAACGTAGTCGGAGAGTGTTAGGTAGGGTACCTTATGGTTTGGGGTGTACAGAGCATGTTAGGGATGTTTGTATTGGAGACGTGCCCACAACGATGAACGTATCAAGGAAAATTAAATATTTGTTATTATAGTACATATATTGATGTAACGATGATTTATGCTTCAATCGTTAGTTTTTTAGTGACTTGTTCATTTTTTTTGTAATCTCTTCCTTTAAAAATAAATAATAATAATAACACATTACATTTTTCCTTTTAAAAGGTTTTTGTTTTAATAAACTATATAAATATAGTTTTATTGAGCTAACAGTTAATGCACACAAAGATGCTGTTATAAATTCTTCTCTCACTAATGTAAAAAGTTGTTTTGACGCTTCTATATCATTCTTATAGTTATAAGTAAGAATTTTTAAATTAGAAAGGTGTGGAAAAATTTCTATGATTTTGTATATCATTATCATTATTATTGTCTACCTATTAATTTTGGCAATGATTGATTAAGTTTTAAATTTTTTGTATTTTTTTGATTATTATGATTTTTAACAAATAAAAAAACAATTCGGATTATTTTTATATGGTAAAATCCATTTCAAATAACTACTGGATTGCTAAGTCTAAAAAATAAATTAATGTATAGGCGACAATAAGCCATTTATATATGTAAAAAGGGCAAAGCGGAATTCTCTTATGTAGTTTTCAGACACAATTAAGTCCTACTGTTCCTATCATCTTTAGAAAAGTTTTTTGAGAATCCATTCGTCTTAGTAAAATTTCTTCAATCGTTTTAATAACTTAAATAACTTTTTTTTTTTTACTTAAATGTACCTTAGAAGTCTATACCTTGCTTAACCGAAATGTGAATTACACAAAGGGTATAATGAGTCATCAAGTTATAAGTCATTTATGAGTGTATAATGTGTTATATATGTATCATATTAATAAACATATATTGCAGTATTTGGTGAATCAAACAATAATATTTTGAATTAAACCTTGCTTTATACGTGTAATAATTAGATAATGCGAATCAAACTTTAATTAGCGACATTTTCATTTATTTTAAGGAACTGAAAAACACTTATTTTCCTGACCGCTAATTGAATTGCCTAAAATGCCATTCAAAATATTTTTTACTTATTATTCAAAATTGGTTATTAACCTATTTGTTAGATAAAGTTGTCTTATCTTTAGAATGATTATTTTGAAGCTGTAACATAAACAAAATGTCGTTTCCTTGAAATGTTTTATGTCAATGAATCTCACTAGAGGTTTATATTATATTTAAGATAAATTAATAATATTGAATTATACATATATTATGTCGGTAAAGCAAACTTGAAAAAATCTAGACATTTTATTACCGTTAATCATTTTGCCAAAACGATGGTTTATGCGCTTTTACATTAATATAATAGATATGTAATTATAATAGATGTTTTATAATTAAAAGTAGTATATTGTTTTAAATTGATGCTTAAAAGTCAATAATTTATTTATACAGATTATAAGAAAGTACTTTTATTAGTAAATCAGGGTAGGTAAATGGTTAAAACTACTTAAGAGTTTTAATTTAAACTTCCATTCGGATTGAAATTAGCAGTCATAATTAAAATTAGTGTAATATTTTGTTGGGCATAAAATAAACATATTTACTTATAGAGTGTATTACCTTAAATATATCTTTTTATTTATCGTTAATGTTAATGTAGTGATTACGTAAACCCTAATGCATAATTTCTACAGGCAAATATTGTTTGTAAATTTAGAATTTCTACTAGTATACTGCTGCAACTACTGATAAGGCTACTGATTTGCATTATACGCTTCCCGTTATAACATGTACAAGGTTACCTTCCCTTCTTAACAATTTCGTGTGATGTTTTATGGTACCATTTTGTTAACTTTTTTAGTGTTTATTCTAATTTAAACGATCTTGAATAATATTATGAAATGATATTAATAATATATATATATATATATATATACTAATATATATGTAAATTAAATTTACTCTAAAATGGATCTAATGTTTATTGCTAAATTCAAACTGAATATAATTTCATCAACATCATTATCCAAGCTTTTATTTCAACTAATTGGGGTCGGCTCTACGTTTTGATTTGACAGAATTTTTATATCGGTTGTCGACCTGATGAAACTTCATATGGTTGTTTGAGTCAGTAAAGAGGCAAGACGTGTGTTACTGTTTAAGTTCCCATATGATCGCCCATTCAGGAATTAACAGCATACAGCGCAGCAGAACATCAGCAACCGAATAATACACTACCACACCACTCCCCTGAATATCATTTAATGTACAATATTTTAGTATGTGAAGTCATAACTAACAAATTAATACTTATTATTCACCCAATTAATTCATTAATTTTTTTGAAAGAAAATTATGGTTTAACGTGAACTTGTACACGACTAGTCATGCTAAGAACACTAAGTTTTTGTACCCTAATAATAATAATAATAATAATAATAAAATCATTAGAGGCTCTTTCATAGAGTTAATAACGGTAACAAGAGTACATTTTTAGAAAGTGATGAATACTGTTACTTCTTTTCAATAAATCCATTGTCAAGGGCCTTTCAGCTTTTAGAGAAAAACTCGCTGGACTGAGAATTTCTCCGCCTATTTCTGATAAATGGAACCAGTCGGGCGTGAACATATTTTAAAAGAACAGTCGTAATTCACTTAAATAGCCTCCTTGTTTTATAATCGGCAACGAAGTTAGCAATTGTGTTTTAGCCCACTGCAAATATAAGTTTTCATTGTTATCATCGAGTGACACATCAGTAAGTTATGGTTCATTTTTAAATCATCTATTTTTACATTGCTAGTTTAAAGCATTTTTCATACTAACATCATTAGGTACCCTTAAAAATATCAGTTGAATTTAGAATGAGTCGAAACTATAATTTTTTAGAATAGTCTAATTACATTCAAAAATATTTTTACTTTATTTTCGTTTCAAATTTAACATAAAATCCATGTTTGCTCAAATTTGAGAAAAAGTATATTATACCAACATGTACAGGGTGTATTAAAAAAATAACGGGAATTTTTAATTTTGTGGGTTTGGAGAGTCAAATTATCAAAAATTTGTTTTTATAATGTCAATACACATGTCCCTGAGTATGATAAAAGTTTTGGTTAAATTTATTTATTGTTTTATCAGCAGCAGCCGCTAAGGTTAGAAATATTTTTATGAGTTCGGCGATTTTTGTTTGTTAAAAAAATGGATCAAACGATTTGTATCAAATTTTGTGTAAAAAACGGAATAAAGTGTAACAAAGTCCTATTGTGAGTCTACCATGAGTAAAATAAGGGTTTAGGAGTGGTATTAGATTTTCCAAGATGACTGTGAAGACGTTGAAGACAACGAACGCTCCGGATGCCCCAGACGCTTAAGCACATCAAAAACCGATGAAAACGTGGAAAAAGTGAAAAAAATGGTTATGAACGATCGCAGAATCACAATCAGAGAAGTCGCTTATGATGTTGAAATATCGATTGACTCATGTCATGAAATATTTACGAATGTTTTGGGCGACAAAATTTGTTCCAAAATAGAGTTGAATTTTAACACAAAAACAGTGGCGAATGGAAGTTGCTCAGGAGTCACTTAATGTCGTCAACGACGATGCAGAATTACTGAAACGTGTTATAACAAGTGATGAAACATGGGTTTATGGATACGACGTTGAAATTAAGGCTCAATTATCCCAGTGAAGGCATTTTGGATCGTCATCACCGAAAAAGGCTCGACAAGTGCGGTCAAACGTGAAGGTTATGCTCACTGTAGTGTTCTTCAATTTAAATGGCATAGTTCATCATAAATTATTACCACGAGATCAAACGGTCAATAAGGAATACTACCTATAAGTTCAACGTCGTTTGTGTTAAGCAATCCGAAAAAACGCCCGGATTTGTGACAAAACAATTCATGGCTTTTGCACAACGATAATGCAACTGCTCAAACCTCATTTCTTGTTCGAGAATTTTTGGCCAAAAACAATACTGTAACGATGTCCCAGTCTTCATATTTGCCAGACATGTGACTTTTTCTATTTTCAAAAATAAAGAGAACCTTAAAGGGCCGTCGTTTTACGAGTATAGATGACATTAAAAGCGTATCGCTGAATGAGATGAAGGCTGTCCCAAAGATCGAGTTTGAGAAATGTTTCAAGGATTGAAAGAAGCGTCGATACAAGTGCACAATATCTAATTGGGACTTTCTTGAAGGCGTCAACATTAATGTTGATGAATAAATAAATATTTTTTTCAAAAAACGAAAATTCCCGTTATTTTCTGAACCTTGTGTATGTGATGTTAAATATTTCGTAGTGGTTTTTAGGTAAGGATTAAAAATATTGTTTTTTTATAAATGACATTTAATTCAATGAATTCAATTATTTTTTTCACTTTTGAATTTTTTTAAATAATATGGTAGTTTATGTGTTTTATCAACATCGATAGAAAAAAGTTCCATAAAATAATTTTTAATCAATTTTTAACTTCCCTTACGATATTTCAAAAATAGGGTTTATAAAAATATGTATATTAAAAGAAATAATATAAAGATGTGAAACATCTTGTGATGGG